TGTCAGCACTGCAATCTCATTTTTGCCTAAGCTCGGTCAATTTTCAGAAAGTAGGTGGAGACACACCCCCCCCCCCCCCCCCCCCCTCAAAAAAATGCTTCTGCACATGCCCTGCTTTTTAGATGCTATTTTTTTCTAATCACAAGCTTTTGATAACATGTTATTTGTTTCTCTTTTTTTTATTTTGCTTTCTATTGTATATAATGACTTAATCTTTGGGTGTACGCGTATTGTCATTGTTCTTGTTGTGGCCATCCACATGGTGTTAAAAAAAAACCAAGATGAATCTATGAGACTTAATCTCTGGTCTTTGAATCTTTTCTCTTTTTTTTTGGTCATTATTTTCTTTAAAACCAATAAAGTTGGAGTTAGTTGTTCATGTGTTGTTCCTATGGCTTCATTTTTTTTTCATACCTCCCTGTTAGCTTTGCTTTCAATATCATGCATGCTTCTCTTTTATATATTATCAACCCTCGTCGAGGGATTTGTTTTCAATTTGCTTACATCTTGCAGTCAGTACAAAGAAATTCACTTGAAACATAATAAACATACTTATAAGAATGTGTACCGTTAACCAAAACAATTATATATTATTATGTATAGATATACCTAAACCTCTTGAAAATATTACATTTTTACTGGCCATATGCAAAACATCCAAAGATATTTTTTTTCCAACAAATTTTGTCAAATGAATTTTAATTTAATTCACTGTGTGGAACTAATTTCTAATATAAGAAGCGACCTCAAAAATCTTTTTCAAATAATACTGTCCTGAGATCAAAACTAATCAAGAATAGTTAAAATAAACAATCATAATTTATTTTGGAAATAAGATAGTTGCATCTAAAAATAGACTCACAATTACAAAAAATTATTAAGATTTCTAAAAATAAATTTCATAATCAGAAAATATCCAAAGAGCTAACTGATGCCTGGCTTGGAGAGTATGATGTATGCTGCTCATTGTCCTTGAGAATTTGTGTAGAGCATTTACCATTTAATAGGAGTAATTATTTAACTAATCTCTGACCCCAATCACTTAATAAATCAATCAGCCCAAAATATCAATTTTCCACCCACTCTAATTTGTGCAAGAGACCTGTGGAAGGTGCTTTGTCTTTCTTTTCACTTTTATTAAGTTGGCTTTTACATTGTATCCATTATGCATGAACTAAATAATCTCTGGTGATTTAAATGTGATCCAAGCTGAACAGTTTAGGCACTCCCAAGTTATTATTTACACCCCTCCCTCACCCCACACAAACAATGTTTCTGTTATTTTCAAGTTTTGAGGTAATTAAAATAAGGTTGATACTGAATTTCTTCATCTGCACAATTACAAGTGTACTGTCATCTATCACGTGGACAGCTATTATTTTTTTGTAACTTCAAAGGTAATGGTACGTGAAAATCCAAAGACTTAAAATCTCCCATTGATTTGTTAGTTTCCAATAAGTTTTAATAACATGAGACAGTATCTGAAATATCTCTTCCAAGCTAAACACTTTCTATCCTCTCTCTCTCTCTCTCTCTCTCTCCCATATGTTATTCAGGCTTGCTTTCTCAATATGCTGCTTGCTTCTTTAATAAAAGGCTTTTTATTCCCTCCCTTACCATTTATTTTGCACGCAGTTACGAAACAATCTTGTCATAATTACGCAATTAAGTTTTGTTTATTTTTTTAAACAAACAAATTTCCCTTTTTCAAAATGGTGCTGAGGCTAATGGTATGAAATAAACCATTAGTCAACTTCATTTATCTTTTTTATTATTAATTTTTTTTTTTATTACCATACCCCACCCTAATATAGCATATTATCTGTTAAATACTAAATATTATATTATTGATCTCCAAATTGTAGTCATTTACAGTTTGATAAAGAGGAAAATATTTTGTAATCGATATAGGCATATGATGAAATTCATCCGCACTGTTCATAACAAACCCCACCACTCCAAGTCTACCCTTGTCACTGTAAGACTTTTGGCTAAAATCCACTAAAGATAATTTCCTTTTATTTCGGTGGCAAAATAAGAAGAGAATAAATAAACAGTTGATATATTACTGTACTGTATAATCTATAGAATGAACATTATTTATCAGAAGTCACCCAATCATAATGTCATGTTAATATTTCCTTGTCATTGTTAAGCCCTCCCCAGAATCTTTCAAAAAAGTATTGTTGATGAGAACTACACCAGTCTGAGGAGAGAGACTAACCAAATAACAAAACATTTGTAACACTCCACACAGCAGACAAGCAAACACACAACGGAAGATGTTTTTGAAAGCATTGAATTGTGGGAAAGGGGAACAAAATATTTAGTTAATATTTAATGGAGGTTCGTCTGTTTTCCCATTACACTGCAATCAGAAAGTAGACAGATGAAAAAGCTCTTTCTTTTTTTCGGCCTCAAAAATTTAAAAAAAAAAAAATTGATGTTGTCTTTTAAATTGAGTAGCACCCATGCATTCAGTCGGGTGGATGCCAACTCATTTTATTGTAATTAAAAGTCACAAATAATGTTTCCAGTTTTGTCTCACAAGAATGTGCATCAAAATTTGAGCTGTCCTGTCTAGATTCTGTTGGAGTATGTTTATAAAACCTCTGCTGTTGTTTTCCTTTTTTTTTTTTTTTTAAACATAAACCGTAAACAGTCTGTCATATTACATCTATTCATATTGTTATTACTAGATTCTGTTGGAGTATGTTTATAAAACCTCTGCTGTTGTTTTCCTTTTTTTTTTTTTTAAACATAAACCGTAAACAGTCTGTCATATTACAACTATTCATATTGTTATTTAACATGAAGATGTGTCCTTCTTTCCAATCATCACAACTATTTTCTTTTTTCTGTGTAATAAACATTTGTTATGAATTTTTACATTCTACTTTTAACTTTCTGTGTTTTTCTTTCTTTTTGTTCTTCCTTCCAAAATAACAAAACCTTTTAACATCAAATCATAAATTATTCTATGGCAGTTCACTTCCATTAACAAATTTTCTTCTTTTTTTAAAAAAATTCAAATGTATAAAGTTTAAAAGTTGTAGCCAATAATCAAAATAGGTGACTTCACATTTGACTTCACAAGATGGTAAAGAAATTAATGTTAAAAACTAAAAATTAAGATTAAAAAAAAAAAAAGGTTAAAGATTTTTTTAAAATACAGGTACCTCTCTAAAAGTCTAAATCTCTGCATCAATTAATAATTAAGATACAAATCTGGGAAGCTATTTCAATACATAGCTACCCCTTCAGTGTAGCAGGATCAATTGAATAAATGTATCTTTGTTTTTTTATTACAAGTTCCACTACTGAAATTTCATATTGAACTTGGTTACTAAAGTACCTATGTAATATTGATTGATAAAATTATATCAGATTTAAACTAAAACCCCAAAAGATATATCCTATTCAAGCGCGGCCATAAATATATACACAGGCATGAGTATTTACAGATGACAATGATAAAAAGTCGTTCCTGTGAAAATATTGAAATTTTTATTTTCAAAAAGGGCCCAGTTAAACTACATGGAAACACAAAAGATCACTTCTCAAAAGATCACTTACCTTGTTTTCAATGTGTGTCAGGCAAATGGTACATGGATAAAAGTATTATACAATTAACTCTTTTAAAGTTATGCATGGACAGACTCCAAGGGCTGAATAGCTTTATTAACTAACAGCAGCATTTCACAAAAATTGGTTTACCATGATGGTTGCTCACAACTTTGCTTGAGAGCTTTGCACGAAATAATTTTTTATTGTGCTTTTTAAAGGCAGAACGAAAATAATGATCAGTCTATAAAAAATCTTTTTAAGCTTCGTTTGTTTTGGCCTCAACAAACACCTCATTCGGCATAAGACTAATTCAGTCATTTTTTATTTCTATTAAATTATTTATACAAAGAAATACATAGCTATGTGACTATTATTACCCAAAAGTAGTTCACTCATGTGCTATTCTCTAGGTATGTAACTTAATAATTACATAATAAAAGTACTTCATAATTGGGTGCTGAGTGGCAGAGCGGTCAAAACTGATTCAATCCCAAACTAGTGGACTGGAGTTCAACCCCAAGAAAATTGCCAGACAAGCAAAAAATGTCCCCAGAACCCAGGTGGATAGACTCATTGACGTTGGATGGCAACTCATTTAAGAGAAAGCAAACTCTGAAATCAAACCTTGCGATGGAGTACCGTAGGCAGTATGACATTGACACAATAAAATTCTGACAATGCCTGCGATGTAGAACGCATAAAGAGCATGTGGAACACTCACAAACACCGCTGGTCATCTAATGCATCCTGGTCTATTTTCAGTGACTGGATCAAATAGGCAAGGGCATGAGAGTGAGGCTCACGAATTGAGCAACTCTCCCTCACAATAAACAAAATACAGCTCAAATTGCTCAAATCAAGGTTATTCAGTCTAAATTTGCCTTACCGGTAGTTCATCGTGCTAAAGACGAACAATAATAATTATTTTTAATATGTATTTTTAAAAAATTGCGATAATTTAAAAAAACAAAAAAAAGCAAGTAGAAAGTCTGAACATAGAGCCATCTTGTGTAAAACCACAAAAAAAAAAAAATCCTAATCCTTGATTACAGTACCATCACACCTATTCAAACACTCGCACACCTATTCAAACACTCGCACACCTATTCAAACACTCACACACCTATTCAAACACTCACTCACACACCTATTCAAAAACTCACACACCTATTCAAACACTCACTCACACACCTATTCAAAAACACAAACACCTATCCATGTGTCTGTTAATCTCTTATTTCTTTAGACTATGAAACTTTTGACAAACTAATAGAGCAGATTTACAGTGAAAAATAAATAAATCACAAGCACAACAAACATTGAAGTTGAATTAATTAAACAAAAAAATTAATAATTTTTCATTTCTTTTTATTTAAATTTAATGAGGAATTTATTTTTAACAATCAAAATACAGCTCCCAACCCACCCCATCCCCCTAAACAAACTCATCTAAGAAAATAAAAAAATAAATCTGGTTAACAATGACTGAATGTCATCTCAATTTTAGCAGAGGAACTTAACTTAAAACTAAATCATGTCCATGGAATTAGTTTTTTCTCTTATAGTGATTTTTTAAGCATTGATTTTTTTTGTAACAGTCATTGTGGCTCAACAGAAAGGTTTTTTAGAGCAATCACTAAATTGTCCTAGAGTCACACCATTTTAAAAGTTTGGTTAATCTGAGATGGACGTGGTTAATCTGAGATGGACGGAATGGTTAAATGTACAATAATAATATAACGGCAAACAAACGAAGGAATAATTATACTGACCAATGAATGGACATGATGAAATTAAAAATATCACAGTCTAGTCCTTCACAATGACACACAGATCACAACACATTTCCATCACTCATTCACTTAGTTGTGCCCAACTGGTGCTTGGCAAGGAACACCAGACACCAATCTGTTTGTTGGCTGCTGATGCCCAACAGGCCCGTTCTTAGGCATACGCTGACTACGCATCCGCATAGGGCCCCGAAGGTGAGGGGGCCCCCGTGAGGCGCCCTCGATAGCTGGGGGCAATGTCCTTCCTCAAAATAAGGAAATAAGTGCCACCAGAGCCATTCTTAGGCATGTAGGCAAACTAGGCAACCGCCTAGGGCCCCACTACCACCTGCATGTCCATATATTTCAGAAGAACACATTTTCTCTAGTGGCGGAATTATCAATATGGTTAGTGGTTACACGCGAGCAAAGAAAAGAGGAAACATTGATGGAGGTGCCGCAGTGGTGGGTGGTATTTTCTCCTCAGCTCGAGGGAGCTCCACCCCTGGACCCCCCATTCCGGGGCCCTCAACCTACGCTCCATGCTTAGGGTCCCCAAACTCCTAAGAACGGCTCTGTGCCTAAGCTGTTTGGCAGGGACAGGATCCAGTGAGAGAAACCTGGCCCAAGGTTTACACAGTTTTCTTCATTTGTTTAAAAATTTTATTCTCTTGTTCATTCATTCAGAGGCCAAATTTCTAATGGTTAGCAAAATTTGCCAGTCAGGGACAGAACATCACAAACCTGTCACCCACAAACAAATATTATAGTGCACAGTAGGATTTTAAATAATGCAGTAAGATCAGCATACAATAGGTCAATGTATGGTCATTCTTGACAAGTCTTTTTGTTATATCACTTATAAAAATAATAATTTAGCAAAATGAAAAGTTTAAAGAATCTTAGATAATAGATATTTTAACCCACGAACTGTCATCGGTCGATTTCATCAGCATATTTCCTCTTCCCAAACTGTGTCGTCCACTACAAATTGCTTTGAAAGAATAAGTTCCAGTCCAATATTTTACACCAAATAAAACCACTTCCTTTTATTAATAAATGAACTTCTGTTTTTCGCTCTTCCGTGTCCTTTTTTTAAACTTTGGAGTTATTTTTACAATGATCTTTCACAAGCGAATTTGTGTCAGTAGATTTTCAGGACGTGGATGAGGCCATAGCTGGACCATCTGGCTTAAAAAATAAATCAGTTAGGAATCTTTTTGATGATTCTTTTGAGTTAATGTCTTAAGTGATTCACACAAACATATTATATAAACATAATGATACGGCTTCAACAAAAAAATTGTACTTTGAGGTACTTAAAAATTTTTTTTTTTTCTTTATTCTTGGTCACTTCAAGGTCACGGTCATGGTCAGCGAGTATAAAATATCATTCAAAAATAGCCAGTATGATTCCCCACCCAGTCTACTTTCAATAAATATATACTTTATGGGGTCTAGCTATTGTATTTGCATGTGAAAAATCACATTTTTGAAAGGCACCCAAAAAGCTCTAAATTGCTGCACAGTGCAGATCTTCAATGGACAGTTCCTGAGTTAAAGGATGGAATTAAAACAAAAAAATTCTCTTAATTTTGTGGAATTGTATGAACAACAATATTGTCGGTTTATAAAAAGAGTGTTCTGGACTGGCACTGGTAGGTTTATAAAAAGAATATTCTGGACTGGTACTGGTAGGTTTATAAAAAGAATATTCTGGACTGGTAGGTTTATAAAAAGAATGTTCTGGACTGGTAGGTTTATAAAAAGAATATTCTGGACTGGTTGGTTAAGTTGACCTAAACAAAATGAAATAAAATGATGGTTTATGTTCTGACCGCACCGCTACGACTGCCAGCAGTCGGCCCTACACCTGCGGCTGGCCGCTCCCTTTCTTTCTGGTACTCCATCTCGATTTTACTGTTGATTTTATCCCAGTCAATTTCAATCTGTTGACCATTCAATAAAATGGTTCATTAGAAAAAAATTCAAAATTAAAAGTCTATTAAGTCAAAAATAATTTTTAAATTTTTGCTTAGACAAGACAATGAACTGCACATCTACTAACCCCTTCCTTGTATTGAAGATATCTTTTATTAGCCTCAGGTTTGTCGAATCTGGCTAAGAACTTCTGTCTGTAGCCCAGGACAGTGTCCACGTGTGTTTTGTTCTTCACTGCCAACTCCAGGGCTCTGAAACAAGGAGGAGTCAAGCAATGAAGACCACAGAAACAGTTGAGCTGAGAACCAGTGGTAGAGGAGTCAAGCAATGAACACCACAGAAACAGTTGAGCTGAGAACCAGTGGTAGAGGAGTCAAGCAATGAACACCACAGAAACAGTTGAGCTGAGAACCAGTGGTAGAGGAGTCAAGCAATGAACACCACAGAAACAGTTGAGCTGAGAACCAGTGGTAGAGGAGTCAAGCAATGAACACCACAGAAACAGTTGAGCTGAGAACCAGTGGTAGAGGAGTCAAGCAATGAACACCACAGAAACAGTTGAGCTGAGAACCAGTGGTAAAGGAGGCTTTTTTAAAAATCATAATAATTGTCAAAGACATCCACATATCCCTGAGATCTGAGGCAGAGGTGGTCAAAGACATCCACATATCCCTGAGATCTGAGGCAGAGGTGGTCAAAGACATCCACATATCCCTGAGATCTGAGGCAGAGGTGGTCAAAGACATCCACATATCCCTGAGATCTGAGGCAGAGGTGGTCAAAGACATCCACATATCCCTGCGATCTGAGGCAGAGGTGGTCAAAGACATCCACATATCCCTGAGATCTGAGGCAGAGGTGGTCAAAGACATCCACATATCCCTGAGATCTGAGGCAGAGGTGGTCAAAGACATCCACATATCCCTGAGATCTGAGGCAGAGGTGGTCAAAGACATCCACATATCCCTGAGATCTGAGGCAGAGGTGGTCAAAGACATCCACATATCCCTGAGATCTGAGGCAGAGGTGGTCAAAGACATCCACATATCCCTGAGATCTGAGGCAGAGGTGGTCAAAGACATCCACATATCCCTGAGATCTGAAGCAGAGGTGGTCAAAGACATCCACATATCCCTGAGATCTGAGGCAGAGGTTCTCCATCTTGGATCAACACACCCCAAAAAGGATCCATATGTAAGCTTTATATCCATGAATAGGGGGACAAAATGTACCATTTATACTAACGTAAATTTAAAATAAAGGAGTTTATGAACGTCTTCCGATTATGAAAACTCGCCCTTGAAGTCATCAGACTACAAAATAGGCCCTTGGAGTTATCAGACTACAAACAAGGCCCATGGAGTCATCAGACCACAAACAAGGCCCTTGGAGTCATCAGACTACAAACAAGTGCCCATGTTTAAGATCGGTCTTAATGATGAAACATAATCTATAATTGAAAACATATAAAAGACAACCGATATTGTTATAATAAAACCATAACCTGTGACTAACACTGGTCGAACACCATAACAGACAGGTCGTACACCATAATAGACAGGTCGTACACCATAACAGACAGGTCGTACACCATAATAGACAGGTCGTACACCATAACAGACAGGTCGTACACCATAAAAGACAGGTCGTACACCATAGCAGACAGGTCGTACACCATAAAAGACAGGTCGAACACCATAACAGACAGGTCGTACACCATAATAGACAGGTCGTACACCATAACAGACAGGTCATACACCATAAAAGACAGGTCGTACACCATAACAGACAGGTCATACACCATAACAGACAGGTTGTACACCATAACAGACAGGTCATACACCATAAAAGACAGGTCGTACACCATAACAGACAGGTCGTACACCATAAGAGACAGGTCGTACACCATAACAGACAGGTCGTCGTACACAGACTATGAACAGCCAGCCCACCTGTCCCAATTGTAGAGCTGTATGTTGAGCATTATGGCCCTGAAAATGAGGCCAGCCTGCAGGAGGATGGCCTCAGCATCCTGTTGGTTGCCACACAGTAAAGCCATCTCTGCATTCCTGGCTTCCTTCACTGGGATTTCTTTGATGCTGATGATGAACTGAACTTTGTCAGCCTGAATTATTAGTACAAACCAAATTTAATGTTCAAAAACTTATAAATAAAAAAAATAATAATTAAAAAAAAGGAAGCATTTTTAGATGATTTCAAATACTAACTAAAAAAAACAAAGTTCTTCTCCCCCACCCCACCCCCACCCTTAAATTTCATGAGAAAATAGTTTAAGAAAAGTGTGTGTGGCTCACTGATCATGGTTTGTTTGAAATGGTCTCTGAAGGCCAAGCATTATGAAGTGACAATTTAAATGGTCTCTGTGGCAGTGTAGGCATTGTGAAGTGACAATTTAAATGGTTTCTGTGGCAGTGTAGGCATTGTGAAGTGACAATTTAAATGGTTTCTGTGGCAATGTAGGCATTGTGAAGTGACAGTTTAAATGGTTTCTGTGGCAGTGTAGGCATTGTGAAGTGACAATTTAAATGGTTTCTGTGGCAGTGTAGGCATTGTGAAGTGACAATTTAAATGGTTTCTGTGGCATGGTAGGCATTGTGAATTGACAATTTAAATGGTTTCTGCTAAAGTGTAGGCATTATAAAGTGACAATTTAAATGGTTTCTGTGGCAGTGTAGGCATTGTGAAGTGACAATTTAAATGGTTTCTGTGGCAGTGTAGGCAGTATGAAGTGACAGTTTAAATGGTTTCTGCTAAAGTGTAGGCATTATAAAGTGACAATTTAAATGGTCTCTGAAGTGCAAGCATTACGAAGTGATAATTTAAATGGTCTCTGAAGTGCAAGCATTATGAAGTGACAATTTAAATGGTCTCTGAAGTGCAAGCATTATGAAGTGACAATTTAAATGGTCTCTGAAGTGCAAGCATTACGTAGTGACAATTTAAATGGTCTCTGAAGTGCAAGCATTACGAAGTGACAATTTAAATGGTCTCTGAAGTGCAAGCATTATGAAGTGACAATTTAAATGGTTTCTGCTAAAGTGTAGGCATTATGAAGTGACAATTTAAATGGTCTCTGAAGTGCAAGCATTATGAAGTGACAATTTAAATGGTCTCTGAAGTGCAAGCATTACGAAGTGACAATTTAAATGGTCTCTGAAGTGCAAGCATTACGAAGTGACAATTTAAATGGTCTCTGAAGTGCAAGCATTATGAAGTGACAATTTAAATGGTTTCTGCTAAAGTGTAGGCATTATGAAGTGACAATTTAAATGGTCTCTGAAGTGCAAGCATTACGAAGTGATAATTTAAATGGTCTCTGAAGTGCAAGCATTATGAAGTGACAATTTAAATGGTCTCTGAAGTGCAAGCATTATGAAGTGACAATTTAAATGGTCTCTGAAGTGCAAGCATTACGTAGTGACAATTTAAATGGTCTCTGAAGTGCAAGCATTACGAAGTGACAATTTAAATGGTCTCTGAAGTGCAAGCATTATGAAGTGACAATTTAAATGGTTTCTGCTAAAGTGTAGGCATTATGAAGTGACAATTTAAATGGTCTCTGAAGTGCAAGCATTATGAAGTGACAGTGGGTTAATAATCAAATACTTCTTTAAAAAATGCTCTCAAGAGACTAACTGATTTCATTTTCAATAAAAATATAACTTTTTGTTCTCTGACTGCAAGGATTCTAAAATCTTTTAGGTTTCATTTGGGAATTTAAAAAAATGTAACTATCTAAGTGAATTAGAAACAGAGAAAAAACTGACATAAACAGCACTTGTTTCCACTGTGGCATGCTGATATTTAATTTGTGTAAATATATCCAATATGTAGATGAGTGAGACTACATTCACAGACTAAATATTTGCAGCAGACTTTCACCAACTGAACAAGTACTTTTAATCAACGAGGTCCATTACCTCTTGGATGGCAGCATAAGCAATCTCAGCAGTGTTCAGATCTTTGGCATAGGTCGCCATGGCTGCCAGGCAGGCCCATAAATTATCTTCCTGAAATTAGTTTTTTAAATTTTTTATTAGTTACCGGTAAGTGGTCACCAAGTCCCACAGGGACTGGGGACATTGAAACTTAACTCATAATATTAAGCACAGAGCACATGGTAAACAGCAACCTAATTAATGTTTCATAATTTCTGTAACTTATGATAACTACAAACATGGCTTCCTGTTGTTTCCATAATTCCCAGTGTTTGTATTGTATGATTAAAAAAAAAATGATATTGATGCATATCAAACTGTATTGAATTGTATCATAGCTTTAACAAAAATTACAGGACACAACAATTTAATGATTAAATTTCTTGTTCTTGTTATGTCAAGTGAATACAGTTAAATCTAACAAAAATTACAGGACACAACAATTTAAAGATTACATTTTTTGTTCTTGTTATGTCAAGTGAATACAGTTAAATCTAACAAAAATTACAGGACACAACAATTTAATGATTAAATTTCTTGTTCTTGTTATGTCAAGTGAATACAGTTAAATCTAACAAAAATTACAGGACACAACAATTTAATGATTAAATTTCTTGTTCTTGTTATGTCAAGTGAATACAGTTAAATCTAACAAAAATTACAGGACACAACAATTTAATGATTAAATTTCTTGTTCTTGTTATGTCAAGTGAATACAGTTAAATCTAACAAAAATTACAGGACACAACAATTTAATGATTAAATTTCTTGTTCTTGTTATGTCAAGTGAATACAGTTAAATCTAACAAAAATTATAGATATAAAAATCTTGAGCAAAGTTAATGGAAAAGTTTGGACAAAAGAACATCCTCCAGAGCAGAATATTGCTGCGGTTACGTCATTAAACTCTATGAAACTCCTTTTGGCTAACCAAACCGGTTACATCATTAAACTCTATGAAACTCCTTTTGGCTAACCAAACCGGTTACGTCATTAAACTCTATGAAACTCCTTTTGGCTAACCAAACCGGTTACGTCATTAAACTCTATGAAACTCCTTTTGGCTAACCAAACCGGTTACGTCATTAAACTATATGAAACTCCTTTTGGCTAACCAAACCGGTTACGTCATTAAACTATATGAAACTCCTTTTGGCTAACCAAACCGGTTACGTCATTAAACTATATGAAACTCCTTTTTGGTTACGTCATTAAACTATATGAAACTCCTTTTTGGTTACGACATTAAACTATATGAAACTCCTTTTTGCTAACCATACCCTATTAAATATAATGATTACAATTGATCCAACTTGTTTCTTAAATGAATTAAATATAAAGACAATTTGGTTTAATCAAATATTCAAACTGTGAGGCCTTTGCAAGTGTAGGATTAAAAAAAAAAATAAACTCGATATCAAACTGCTGGTGATGGATGAAGCTGAGTTTCTTGTCTTTCATCCTTCACAATTAGTGGTAGGAATGTATTTTCATTTGGCAAGCATAGCTTACCTTGTATCGCTAAGGTTACCAAACAAACAATTAAAAATAAAAATGCATCAAACCCCTAACAAGCCAAGTTGTTAGGGCTCAGCCAAGTTCTTATGGCTCAGCCAAGTCATTATGACTCAGTCAAGTTTTTATGGCTCAGCCAAATTGTTATGGCTCAGCAACGTTGTGGCTCAGCCAAGTTGAAAGGCTGTGTTCATTAAATAAATCTAATTAGAGATGGATGATTGGGAGCACAGATATAATGCAATACCTTGACGAAGCGGCACAATCTGACGGCGTCATCCCACTTATTGCTCATGACGTACGAGTGCAGCACAGAGGGATAGGACGTGATGGATGTTGAGATGAGAGAACCCTCTGACCGACGTAGAATAAGATGGCTGCCTAGAAAACCAACCAGCTGTGGAGCTTTGCCAAATTCACTGAAATAATATTTTTGGCCATTATTTATCTTTTAATACACTGTTAAAAAAAAATCCATTTAATGCTCTGATAGTAAGTTCTGATCAGCTGACATCTGTAATCTATACAGGACACACTAACTCAAAGTTCTAACCTCTGTTAGCACAGGACACACTAACTCAAAGCTCTAACCTATGTTAGCACAGGACACACTAACTCAAAGCTCTAACCTATGTTAGCACAGGACACACTAAGTAAAAGCTCTAACCTATGTTAGCACAGGACACACTAAGTAAAAGCTCTAACCTATGTTAACACAGGACACACTAAGTAAAAGCTCTAACCTATGTTAACACAGGACACACTAAGTAAAAGCTCTAACCTATGTTAGCACAGGACACACTAACTCAAAGCTCTAACCTATGTTAACACAGGACACACTAAGTAAAAGCTCTAACCGATGTTAGCACAGGACACACTAACTCAAAGCTCTAACCTATGTTAACACAGGACACACTAACTCAAAGCTCTAGCCTATGTTAGCACAGGACACACTAAGTAAAAGCTCTAACCTATGTTAGCACAGGACACACTAACTCAAAGCTCTAACCTATGTTAGCACAGGACACACTAAGTAAAAGCTCTAACCTATGTTAACACAGGACACACTAACTCAAAGCTCTAACCTAAGTTAGCACAGGACACACTAACTCAAAGTATTTAAAAAAACTTAGCAGAAGCTCCTTAAATTATATCAAAACAAGGCACACTTGCTCAAAAGTTCACCGACTCTTTTAACATTTTTTTGACAAAACAAACCTCGAATCCTTCTCGTAAAGTGTTTTTGGCAGCAGATCCTTGTCAACATAAACAGCATTAGGGTAGTACCAGACCAAGATCTTCCCATCTGTCATGGCAGCCAGCATGTTGGTCTCATCATTCCAGACGTGAGTCTGGATCATGTTGGCTGGGAACAGAGGAACCAAAACAATACAACATGGTACGACACATAATCATTTTAAATGTCTGACAATTCTTCAAAATGTTACTTAATCTACATGCGTAAGCTAAAATACACACAAAAAAATGTGGCTGAAAAAGTCTCCCTTATGTAGTTGAAAAAGTTCCCCTTATGTAGTTGAAAAAGTCTCCCTTATGTAGTTGAAAAAGTCCCCCTTATGTAGTTGAAAAAGTCTCCCTTATGTAGTTGAAAAAGTCCCCCTTTATGCGGTTGAAAAAGTCCCCCATGAGAGTACCGAGTTTGATGATCTTCCTCTCAGAGCCAAATATTCGGACAGACGTGATGAACAGGTCTCTGTTTTTGTCCACAAGAGAGATTCTTCTCTCGGCCGTAACACCACACTGATCAAGTCCAATGTCCATGACCTCTACCTAAACACAACAAGCACATTACAAAAATATAGATTGAACATGTTTTTTAATAACTTAAATTTCAGGGGGGGGGGGGGGGGGGCAAACCAAAAAATAAGATACAGAAATCAGACCCTAGTTTTCTGATAAACAATATGTGTATGTGTGCCTAATATCTGAACACCCCGTATTACAGTATAACTATCCGAACACCCAATATTACAGTATAACTGTCCGAGTTTTAAACTTCTACCTTTTAACATCCATGAATAATGAAAGTTACTCAAGCTCAAACGTGTTTTGGTTGCCCCACAGCTCTGCATCTAAACACACATGTTTACCTTATGAGTGATTGGTTTGCCATCCCCCATTGTTTTTCCGGTCTGTGCATCAAACACATAGACAACTTGTGGAGAGAGATTTCACATCATTATACAACATAGAAAGGGTTCAACATATACAATTTATAAAGGAAAAAAGAAAACTTATTCTGTTTAAATGAACAGTTTTGGCATTTTAAAAAAGATTTTTTTCCAGAAACTTTATCAAACTAAGCATATAACATAATACGTAAACAGTAAAAAAAAAGAAGAAAAATTTGCAAATTTGTTACATGCAAAATAATTGTCAGTTATTTGTTTGACACACTTGAGTAACTGAGGTTCTAGAGTTGTTGTCACGATGACAATACTGGAATCTTACCAACTGTCATTAAATAGACAGCGGATTCGCTGACCACCAGAGTTCTCAAAAAATATACTTAAAAAAACCCATAATATTCTTCAATGCAATAGTAAAAAAAAATTAACATTACAAGAATAGTACTGTACTAAAGCACTGACATAACAAAAAGCTGTAGTAGGCTCACCCTTTTCATCCGTTTTATCCCTTATAGCGACCGTGTCATTACAAATTGCAATAGTTTGCTGGTTCAGGACTTCAGCCTTCATACCTTGATAGCGTGGTGAACAAACCAGGCGCCCATCATAGGAAAACACATAAACGCCGGTCCCGTCAACCAGGAGGAAGTGTCTGTTGTGAGTATAAATAGTGTATGCAAAAACTAATGGAATCTGAAAATATTGGATATATTGTAATTTTAAGAAAAGGGTTGGACTATTGTTAAGTTTAAATAAGATTTAATGTCAGAAACTTAGAAAATATCAGTGCTGTTATTAACAAACATTTTTCAACATTTATGTCCCCAAGGTCAAGGGTGTGTCACAAGAGTATTTATAAAAATGAATGAAAAATCAAAAGTAAAAAATTTTAATTGTGGACATTTTGCCTTAAAATTGGATTGGAATATTATCATCTATATATTCTCAGAAAAACTTGATATTTTGTCATACAAATTTTATATATTGTCATAAAAATATGATATATTGTCATAAAAATTTGATATATTGTCATAAAAATGTAATATATTGTCATAAAAATTTGATATATTCTCATAAAAATTTGATATATTCTCATAAAATAATATTACTGTCTAAACAGCCTGTATTTTAAAAAAAAAAAAATTTTGAACAGTGTGTTTTGAGATTGTTAACTATCCGTTCAGGAAAGTTGTACGATTAAAACATGTTGAAAACCTGGCGCAAACAAATAATAAAAATGTTTCAGTAAATTCTGCAATAGTCAATTTCTAAATATCCACTCAAATGACTTTTTAAGATTAACTGTATTGACAATGATGAGTACCGGTACAAGGTTAGAAGTGTAATTCTCGTTTGGAGCTTATGATTCTGGGTACCGGTACAAGTTAAGAGCTCTTGTACGTCTGATTATGATAGCTTATAATATGTGTGTACAGGTAAAAGTTAGAGCTGTACAACGGGTTAGTTTGAAGCTTATGATTCTGTGTAGTGGTACAAATTAAGAGCTAATGATTATGGGTACCAGTATGTGAAAACTTGAACAACAGCCGTTAGTTATTCAAGCTTACACATTCCATGTCGTTCATATTTTTTTAATATACAACTTTATCACAGCCATTCCCGCCCCCTCCCCTTTCATTACTTTACAAATACTTAACTTGTCCCAGGTATAATTTATTACAAAAGTATTTCATACAAATTTTTTTATTTCAGTATCATATAGTTGTCCTTACTTCTCTGCCTGTTTGATCAGAGTGACACTTCCTTCTTTAAGGTCAAATATCATTGGAGTGTTCCAGTTCTTTGTACTGTAACAAAACAAAAAAGTTTTATATCATTGGTTTTGTTAAGAAAAGTACTTACAAAATGGTCATAAAAAGGGCAAGGACTGAGGAAGCTTTCAAAGTTTCCCAACAGAACAAAGAAAGCTTTCCACGGAGAAGGGAAATGGGACACGGGACATGGGAAACAAGACACGGGAATAAACAAGTAAAAAAAAAAAGTAATGATGAAACAAAAAGTCTAAGAATAAACTATGAAAATAATTAATCATGGCAAGACAGCAAGAAATTCGAAATAGAATCTATCAATTCTTTCTGTCTGCTTGATATCATAATATTATTCACTTAAAAAGTTTTTTGAACTTTTTGAATGCTGAATAACAATTAAGAGTTCTTCAAAGATTTTGATCTTTCCAATGAAATTGAAATTTTCCTTTTTTTTTGTTTTACATATGAATGTCTCTATTAAAAAAAAAAAATATAAAATATAATTTCATTTTCCTACAATTAATTCAAATCAATAAGAATAATAATTTTGCTTACTTGTAAATGTAACATTGTGAGGAAGTGGCCACCACAAGATGGTTGTAGCCAAGAGCAACCTTGATCACTCTGTCCCTGAAGTCCAGCTTTTCTGTGGCGTCGTTCATCACATTTCTTACATTGATCTGTTTACTGGCCGTCAGAGTGGCTTCAAAGTTTTTCCACTCCAGCCGTCTGCATCAAACATAGTATCAGTAAAACAACATGGATAGTGTTCAAATACAGCCAAACTCCCCACCGGCTATGGGGGATAACCTGAAACTTTCCACCAGCTATGGGGGATAACCTGAAACTTTCCACCAGCTATGGGGGATAACCTGAAACTTTCCACCAGCTATGGGGGATAAGCCAAACTCCCCACCAGCTAAGGGGGATAAGCCAAACTCCAAACCAGCCATGGTGGATAAGCCAAACTCCCAACCAGCTATGGGGGATAAGCCAAACTCCCCAACCACCTATGGGGGATAACCAAAACTCCTCACAACCTAAGGGGGATAAGCCAAACTCCCTTGGTCGGTACCCCCTATTCGGTTTGAGGGCACCAGCTATGGGGGATAAGCCAAACTCCCCACCAGCTATGGGGGGATAAGCCAAACTCCCAACCAGCTAGGGATGACAACCAAACTCCCAACCAGCTATGGGGGATAAGCCAAACTCACCACCAGCTATGGGAGATAAGCAAAACTCCCAACCAGCCATGGGGGATAAGCCAAACTCCCCACCAGCTATGGGGGATAAGCCAAACTCCCCACCAGCTATGGGGGGATAAGCCAAACTCCCAACCAGCTATGGATGACAACCAAACTCCCAACCAGCTATGGGGGATAAGCCAAACTCACCACCAGCTATGGGAGATAAGCAAAACTCCCAACCAGCTATGGATGATAAACCAAACTCCCAAAAGGCCATGTGGGATAAGCCAAACTCCCAACCAGCCATGGGGGATAAGCCAAACTCCCCACCAGCTATCGGAGATAAGCCAAACTCCTCACCAGCTATGGGAGATAAGCCAAACTCCCCACCAGCTATGGATGACAAACCAAACTCCCCACCAGCTATGTATGACAAACCAAACTCCCCATCAGATATGGGAGATAAGCAAAACTCCCCACCAGCCATGTGTAAAAAACCCAGTGAACTCCCTGGGCCTGGGAAAAGGTCACAAAAAGCAAAACTTATAACTTATACAAACTTAACACACAAAATATATATATATATATATATTAAGGACATGGTTTACTTGCAAATACTTAAATTACAATTTCTCTCTCTATATAAATGAGTGTTTGCTGTTTTGTGTGTTATTTATCTGTCAAGGGAATACTAAAAAACAAAAATCTTAATTTTTTCCAATAAGTTCAGAGGGGGGGGGGGGGGGGGGGGGGGGGGCGCAAGGTCCAACTGCATTAACATTTAGATGATATAGGGCCATTACTGGACTACATTCAGCAATAAAGAACTGCACTACACCTCTGTAGTATGCTCACTATACAAGCAGATCTGGTCCACAATAGTGAAATAAAATATCTGGCAGCTTCAAACAGCTCCCAAAAATAGACATATTTCTTGACCATTGTCTCTTTGCATGATCACTGAATGAATGGTGAAAAAAGTACCTATTATAGGTTGAGTCACATGACTATGGTCCTAACATTCTTCTTCAATTGTGCCAGAAATTTAATATAAACTTACATTTCAATGACATTGCCAAATATGATTTGACCGTTTCCACATGCCCCAGCTATTTGTGTTCCATCACTGGACCATGCAATGTTGAATATACTTCCAGTGTTCGGCTTCTCGAGGGCATAGGACCACTGTTGTAAAAATAAATAACAATGCTTTCTCTTATATTGTATTGCAGTTATAAACAATACATACGGTATACACTTCTCTGACTTTTCCCATACAATATTAATTGAAAGGTGGTAGAAATCTATAAAAATTTCCTAAAAACCAAAAAAAGTTACAATTTTAAGTTATGATATGATGTTATTGTTATATAACACAAAAATATCACAATTTTTCAAAAGATGTGTAGAAAATTAACAACTAATATTATTCATTATTTCATTTATAGGACAGAAGTAAACTTTTTGTAACTGGCACTTTTTGCATCCAGCTCACCCCGCTTCTATCACACAGGCGGAGAGTGTTGAAAGATCCAATAGCAAACATTTCCCCATCGGGTGTCCAGGCCACAGATGTGATGGGATACTCATGGCTACTGCTGCTGTATAACTGACGCCCATAAGTGTCCCACACCTTCAATACAAAAGATTAGATTATTGCCAGGAATGTGTTACATTAAAAAAAAAAAAAGTTTTATTTCTAAATTGCCAAAGTCACTACTGAGAACTTAAACAACAAAAACTGTTAATTTGTAAATTTAACTCAGGAATTACCAACTTAAATCTCTCACAAGTAGGTCAGGACTAAGGTGCTACTTACTTAAATCTCTCACAAGTAGGTCAGGATTAAGGTGTTACTGACTTAAAGCTCTGACAAGTAGGTCAGGACTAAGGTGTTACTGACTTAAAGCTCTGACAAGTAGGTCAAGACTAAGGTGTTACTGACTTAAAGCTCTGACAAGTAGGTCAGGACTAAGGTGTTACTGACTTAAAGCTCTGACAAGTAGGTCAGGACAAAGGTGTTACTGACTTAAAGCTCTGACAAGTAGGTCAGAACTAAGGTACTACTAACTTAAAGCTCTGACAAGTAGGTCAGGACTAAGGTTTTACTGACTTAAAGCTCTGTCAACTAGGTCATGACTGAGGTGTTACAGCCTTAAAGCTCTGTCATACCTTATAGCGTTTGTCCTCTGCACCAGACAGAATAAAATTGCCTACAGCATTCCAATCAACACACAAGATGATTCCTTCATGAGCCTTCCACTGAAATAAACATTCAATTGAATAGTAGTAATAACAATGACATTAATGGAGTTTAAAAGATACATAGGTTGTGACAAAACAGACTTCATATGGTTGAGTGGTGTAAACCATGGCTCCATAGCCGTTTTTTTCACTCACAGCCCATGTAGACCATTCCCAGATTTCTACGGCACACCATAATGAAAAACATGAAAAAAAAAAAACATAACCAATTTACTATTGTTTATTTTACTATTTTTTTGCATGTATCAACATTTAAATGTCTTTTTTCTTGTAGACGTGAAATTAACATGATCAAGTAGAACTTTTATACCAATTTATAAAAGCATGCAATAGATTTCACTATTAAAGCTTGAATGTCAATAGAAAAGAAGTATGTTTTTATGAACGTAGTTCTTTTGCATTTGGCTAAATATCAGATCAAGCAACTCGAAAGTTCTCCTCCTATGTCTTTCACGCATGACCCCTGATAATCTTTTATTAAAACAAGAATAGAAAAAACTTTGATCACATAACTATAGAAAATTATAGCAGAACTGCAACAGTCTCGTTAGAAATTAACGGGCATTTCTTTGACTAAAACCGAGAAAACACGAAAGGAATCTTATTTTGAGTGTCCCATCATTCTTTAACGCCATTTTTTCCTCTTGAATCTAAGGTGAGAGTTCTCTTATCTAGAAATTGGGGCGTATAATGTAAAATGATTTCAGATCCCATTGCATCGCTCATTATTTATCAAAAGGACATAATGGAAAAAAATCAACAAAAATAAATTTTATGAAAAAGTTTCATTTTTCTCACTTTCCCTTAAAAAACACTAAAAATACATGAATTTCCAGCAATCAACACAATTAGTACAATATTATACAGTACAGGTGTGACAAGCATATGATCAAACTTTATCAAAGGCCAAAGCGAAAGGGAGATATTTTACTAGATGCTTCAGTCACATGAAATGGTGATTTTTCATGTGACCTGCTAAATTTAAGATCCAGATGTGCAATGCTATTTGATTTCGAACATTTGACAGCTTGTTATTTAACCTATCCTTTTCCCTATAGTTTAAACAAATTTATAATGCCTTCAATGGTTTTTCATCTTTTTGGACAATGTACTGACCATTTCAAATACCTTTGATCATAATATTTATTGGTGACCTATGAGCTGTTTATTTTTTAGTTAGGTTAAAAACAAGGAGTCCTTCCCCCCTTCCAAAAACCATTTCTATTAAATTGACAACTTTGTGTCTTATTATGGCCCAAATTAATCTCCTAATGTAATAAGTTTTATCTTAGCTAAACAATTTACCATTTGGGGCTTTGCATTAGCCTGCAGAGGTTTAATTACCAATTGTCGACCATTTGTGAATAAAACTTGATCAGAGTCAGGGCTCCAAGCAACGCTGTATACTGGGATACCTAAAAATATATAAATACACATTCTTGACCATAAGAATAATAATAGAATTCAGAGTACAATAACATACACCTGCTGGAGCCAGTTACCAAGAAATGCAAAAGTATTACAGATACCAGGACATGGTGAAAAAAACGGAATAAACAATAATGTACTTTAAGAATTTTTAAAGTAATTATTTGTCTTAGCAAAATGCATATCCAACTTATTATTGAACATCGGAAATAATAATTGTTACTTTAAAACAATGCTATACCTAAATGAAAGGAAATTTAAACTGCTTACTGTTCTGTGTGAGTGTGGATCTCAACATGCCGCTACGGGACCAGATTTTCACTTGTCCATCTTCACCCCCTGTGACAAGTGCAGTCCCATCATAGCTCCAACGACCACACAAAACTGCTCCCTTATGGGCCTCAACACTCTTCTCTACTCTGCCTGTGCGACTGATCAGATGGAATTTTCCTAGAATTACAAATTAAAAATACTCTTATTTACCATGGAAATAAATTAAATCATAGGTTCAGTTATAAATGTTTAAAACTAATTGAAATATCTTGCCTAAAATTCAATATTATGAATAATTATTTAGACATAATTTCAGATGATAGAATAGTGACGGCATTAAAATTATAATAAATTCATAAAACATTATTTTGGAATGGGTTTACCGTCTGTTGAGGTCAAAGAAAAAACATCTGATCCTGCCTTTTTGGCTCCGCCTCCCTGTGCTGACTTAGGAAACCAATGCATGCTAGTTGGGAAACAATCTTTTGACAGATCAAGCAGTGTGACCGTTTCATTGTTGGTCAGGTTCCATTTTAAGACATGATGGTCATCAGCACAAGAGTATACTTCATCTGGAGTTGTCCACCCCACACAACTTACAAGCTCTGAATGTAAGTCTCAGTCAAGGAAATTAATTTTAATATGAAAAATGATTGAAGAATAAATTATTGATTAAAATTTTTAAAAAGGATAATATGCGTAATATAATATAAAATACCCACAGACAGCTCTCTAAATAATGTATACTGCTGCATCTAGGGAAAAGGGAAAAGTCTAAACAAAATAATTGAATGAACTTCAGCCCGGTGAAAATGAATTTAAATAATATGAAGTTGTAAATAGCCTACTGCTTCTATCAACCATATAATATATTAAATAAAAATTTGTAGTTGCTGTTCTTGTTTAAATTTAAATAAAATGAGTGGTGATTATGTTTTTATTATAACCTAGGAATTTATCCAAGCAAGCTACTTCTGGCAGTTCAACCTCATCATAATTGTCTACTACTTCACTGAATAAAAAAAAAGTTCTCTTTAAATTGAGCCAGACTAAATTTTAATGACTAAAATTGAACAGCGGCTAGTAAGTAAGGCGCAAGCAAAAGATCTAATCACCATTGCTGTTTGAACGTGTGAAATTGTTGTGTGAAATATCCAAGGAAAGTCAGGTACTAAATTCAAAATTGTGTAGTATGAAGAGTACGATGTACCTTTTTGCACCTGCTTTAGTAAGACAATTTTTAAAAAACTTTTGGTAAGTGGTTCAGAAGTAGAGCGATAGTTGTAGTTGAATGTTAGTGCTTACATTACTTAACATTCATTATTTATATCAATTTTATAAGGAATAACAACATTAAAATACTTAAAGGTCTAAATTAAAATAATGAAGTGACTGGGTGGGGTGAGTTGAGCCCATTGAATAATTATTGCTTCCCATGGCAGACAACACGCCGTTTTCATCAGCAATATTTTTATAACTATTTTTTGTATTGTTTTTCTTCGTTTTCACACTTTTCGATTGTCACCACAGTGTGTAACTAGCCAATGTAGGGTGCTGAGGCTGAGGGAAGGGGCCACCACAGGTTGCTGATATTTCTTGCCGCGTTTCTAGAAGTAAGCATACAATAAAGTTGCTACGGTCATTAAAACAAAATAATTTACCAACTGCAATTATGTCAGGAAAAAGGGCGACGGCAGGTCATTAAAAATTCTCGTCACATTATACACAGCTAGAATCGAGAGATATTGCTGCATTCACCATGAAATTTTTATGAGGAAGGAAGCATTCATCATTAATTATGCCTAATATTATAATTATATGCTTTGATGCACTCTACCCATAATAGTAATATGGGCTTAGGAGTCTCACCATCCTTAAAATAAATATAGATGTACATACATTACTAGACAAGCTGGCATTATTTTTTATTAATACAATACCTCATTGGGCCCTTATAAATTAGGTCTATACTTATTTTATGGGTTTTTTATAAAAATTTTGTTGGTAATTTTAAGTTTACATTCCTACTACTGCTACTACTTGACGGACAATAACTTTATTATTTAGGTTAAAAAGGATATGCTTTGGCTCTTTTTGAAGAGTAGTTTTAAGACGCATTCTTCAGTGTTATCCTATTAGGATGTCTTGGTTTGAACATAAGAGAAATAATTTGTTAAATCCCTGTGTTACTTAGGTAAACAACTAACATCCCATCCAAACTTTGTGCTTTCGGTATTTCATGACTGAGCATGCGCGAGGAGTCAATTTAAAAAAGAAGACTAATCCAAAGCCAAAAACATTTTTTATTGTTATCTAAAAAATAAAACGAAATCAAGACTCTAGACAATCTTCATTTGATTAAATTTAAAAAAAAAATATAGGCAAATCTATATGAATTTTTTTAATAAATGAGTAATAAAGGATTTAATATTTTAAAAATTATTTCTGCATGCCGTGTTCCTTTTTAATTTTTAACTCTAACACTAACAATTATGGATGATAAATTTAAATGTTGTTATTCTTATTCACAAAGTTCGAAACTAATCACAATCCTTTTAATTTATTTATATCCATAAATGATATAAAAATAATTAAATTGAGTGTAGAACTCATAATTTAAATGTATTTATTCATTTTTTATACAATATTTTTTTTTACAATTATTTTTTGTTTCACAAATTTTACTTTTTATATGATGTTTACACTAGATACAAAATGGCCGATAAAAATTAAGCCGTTTGTTGTGCTATTTCTTAGCAGATTTTATTATCTCAAAATATCTATAGTTTTTATATCTTGTTAATTATACATATTTTTATATATTTCAATTTGATATACATATTTGTTAAAGTTAAAGTATCAATGGGTTCACGCACAAATACCGGTGAAAATGCGTCACGTTCACCCAGTCGAACTTCACTTTCAATCAGTGTCAAAATCCCATCGCCTTCGGAAATAAACTCAAATAATGATGCACTAAAGACAACTTCTATAATTGATACTAACCGACACTACGTTGACTTAAGTACTCCAAACAATACGAGCAGAACTATAGGTGCAGACAGCCCACCTCAGCAAGAAAATAATGGGGCTATTACTCGACATGGACATGAAATTCATGAAAGTATCAGTATGAATAGACCTAACCATTCAAATAATTACAATATTCATACCACAGAGAATGTTTCACTTGGCAACATTACTGGATCTGCTGGAAAATTTCAGCAATACAGAGATTTTGATTCAAATGTAAAATCATATAATGATCACAATGTTGGTCTTGGTGGCTCTGAGGATTATAAAAAGTACACACAAATGGGAAAATCAGAGTAAGTTATTAGTCCAGTCAAGTGAAGTTTAAGAAATAATTTAGGCCTAATTAACTATTATTCTATTTCAATAACTTTTAATTAATTATTTTTCTTATTTGAAATAAACATGTGTTTTTGTTATGGGTGTCCAGCCAAGGCAGACTTCTGCCCCCTAATTTCTCCCTTACACATCTCAGCCATCTTACCCATCTCAGCCATCTCACCCATCTGCAGTATTTTTTTTGGGGGGGGGGGGTGTTTGGGTTCATGGGGAAGGAGGCTCAATGAGCCCTTTCCCTGAATTTAATAAATTTAGAATGCAGGGATTCAATTAGGTACATGGAATGGGTGTCCAGCCAAGGCAGACTTCTGCCCCCTAATTTCTCCCTTACACATCTCAGCCATCTTACCCATCTCAGCCATCTCACCCATCTGCAGTATTTTTTTTGGGGGGGGGGGTGTTTGGGTTCATGGGGAAGGAGGCTCAATGAGCCCTTTCCCTGAATTTAATAAATTTAGAATGCAGAGATTCAATTAGGAACATGGTTCTACACTTGAATGGAAAGGAACACAAGTCAAGAGATGCTAGTTGAATTTCAGGTGCCCCTTGACTCTTGACCTGCTTGTGGTTATACAAATCTTTCATTTTCAGTGGTTACTATATTATATGGTTATTTTGATTTATAGTTTTTATTTAAGATAATTTTTAATTATTCATCTGAATTTAATTTTAAAAATCAGTACTAGCTCATACCATCACTAACAAAATAGCACTGCTCATCGGCCTTATTTGTAGTGCCTTTTGCTTTCACATTCTCAAAGCTCCTGGTTGGACATTAAGCAGCACTTAAAATAACTCAACCTTCAATCGCTTAACTATTCCCATTTAAGTTCTGTAAATGACATTTGAATTGTAAAATTAATTAGTTAATTTATAATTTGACAACTGCATAAAATCAAATAAAGCTGTTAATTTATTATAAAATACTTACTAAATGTGTAGCATTACCTGCAAATTAGATTGCAGAAAAGATCCACATTAATGATTTGTTATGTTGCATTAGGAGGTGGAATCTTTTTTAATAATTGAAAATATCATACTAATTAATATGGACATAAATGATGTATATGTTGTGTCCATGGTTCCACAAATCTTTTTGGTAGAAACTAAAATTCTTTTTAAAATGATGGTGTTGTAAGTTGTGTTTGTCATTCACATCAATGTTACCAGGTATTCTGCCAGTATTTTGAGTCAAGAATATTGCTATATGTAACTGCAATAGTGTAGTTCAATTATATTTAAATTTTTGAAAAATGTCATATATGGATACAAAAAGGTTTAGTAACACTTTTTATCAAACTATTTCACAGATTTAACATTTTTTTCAATACATACAAAAACTCAAACTCACATAAAAATGCATAGTCATTTATGTTGACATGGTAGTCTTTACAACACTTAAGTCACTTTACACATTTGTGATTCACATTCAGTGTTCAATGCAAGTTTATAAATTAAACTATGTAATGTCTTTGAAATTTAAGGATATAATCTTACTCAGTTGTTTTGCTTTGTTTCGAAATAACTTCTTGAAACTATTAAAGGTTGATTCAACAAAAGGCAGTGCTGTCAATAGAAAAGGCTTGGATTGCATACAGAGATCGACAGATGTTCAAATTACTTAAGAATTCAGTATGCGCCGCTGTAAGTTTCTTCCCTTTCTTTATATTGAAGGCGTGCCGGCACCCTATTTTTTAAAACACTGGCAGTATAAATTCTATTTCTATGCTTTATTGAAATGGATACCTTTTTTATATTTCATGCTAAATATTTTATTATTTAAAGTTTTAATTTTGTTTCAATTTATAGCACCACCAGAAAGATTTATATTTTATCAAGCTGATTACTTGTGTACAAATTAGTTCAATCATATGAAACTGGGAAAAAAATGCACTAGCACTACTTCATTTAGATTTATGAAAATTTCAGCTTTGTGAGCTAAAGATTGGTTGGATGAACACTTTAATCATTACCTGTCATGGGGGATGATGCTATGTCTTTTGAATCCTTTTTAATAGTAAAAAGGACAATAGTCCCTATGTTGCTATTAGTTCTAAGTGTCTTTAAGCTTTATAATATGATATTTCTGTATGATTAACTACTATTGCATGTATATTTGCAGGAGAATTCTCTATCTCATGAAATCTTAAGAAAAGTTTCACCAAGAGAGGCAGAGTTTTTAAATGACAGATGTCAACAAGTCCGTGTCAGATTCAGGTTGTCAACAATATTTGTAATCTAGTTATTTTGTTAGCTGTAATTTTATTCAATGCTTTCAAATTAATCCAGGTAAGAACATGGCATGCGCTAAAGTAGTATCATGTTCCCCATTTTAAATTATGAGCTCCTTTAATAAAAAATTAGCTAGATATAAATGTAATGAGATTTTAAATAATTTTTTAAATCAAACTAATTTTTATGCTAAGTAATTATTTTTATTAATCTTTGAAAACTGATTCTTACAACGTGATATCATGTATAATTCGGTTCTGCAGACTGATCCACAACTATAAACAATCAGTAGCAGAGACATGGTTTACAGACACCCACAAAATCAATGACATTTCTATTGTTTTCAAGTAAAATTATATTTTTTGTTATTAATATATTGGGTCTAGGTTTCAACATGTTTTTTTTTATTCTTCTTCTAGGTTTGGAGGCGTAGAGTTCCCTCCCATGATCTTCTTTAAGATATACATCCATAGTGGCAACCAAAAGGTGAAATATATCAGTGGTCGGAAAATGATAAAACCAACAACAGAGGTATATCATAAAACTACACAATCTCTTGAACAGTATTTTTAAAACATAGACTTTACCCTGACATTTGGCAAATGAAATGATTACATTCTATATTAAGTATTCACAATTGGCAAATGAAATGATTACATTCTATATTAAGTATTCACAATTGGCAAATGAAATGATTACATTCTATATTAAGTATTCACAATTGGCAAATGAAATGATTACATTCTATACTAAGTCTTTACAATTGCCAATTTGATGTACATAAGGATATTTTAGTTTAGTTACCATATATTATGCATGCACGCCCTAGATTTCTGCTACGTTAAAATTTTCAGTCAATTTAATATAGTATAGGCCTACATATTTAGGCCTTTGAGACAAAGAGAGAGATTTAGACACAGAGAGAAATAGACACAGAGAGCGAGAGTTAGATAAAAAAATAAAAAGGTTTATATTTGTTGGCTGCTGCTACTACTACATATGTAGAAATTTCCAAAAAGTTCAACCCCCAAAAATTAATTCCTTTAATTTCAAATTGCATTAATAAAACGTTTGTGTATCACTTTTTCAGGCTGCTAATGATGCTTTGAAACTTATGGGAAATCGAAATTTTTATGATCAAATTCTGCAAGACACCATAAGACAGCAGCAACAGCCAATCAGTGATGAAGTAGATATAACAACAATGAAAGATTACATGCAAGTATGTATAACTATATAAGTATAACTAAATTATGTTAATTTAATTTATATTTGCATGAACTTTTTTGTTGTACTGATGAAGACATTTGCCAAAGTGCTTGCATTTGTAATCTGTGTAGCCCATATTAAAGCTTAATCTACATCATTTTAGTTATACAAATTGTTTTTGTCTCTATAGGGTTTGTCATTTCTAAGACCGGAAAAATTCACATGGCATTACATAATGTTACTATTTTTAGACAATGTTTTCGTAAAATATAGCATATATATATATATAGCAATAGTAGTAACAATTTGTAAAAATCTTTCGTAAAATAAAGTTGTAAACACGTTTTTGTTTAGGTTAAGACCCACTATGCTGGCTCAAATTAACGTAGAAGTACCTAACATCTGTTGAGAGATTGGCCAAAGGGAGTACCAGGATGTTTTATTTAGACTAAAGGCCCGGATGTTCTATTAATATATTTCCGCCATTAAATGACAAACCCTTTAGTCTCATCAATCTATTTGAAAGCTTTATCACAGTTATAATTAGTTAACAAATAACAAACATGGTGCAGTGAATTAGTCTCATTAAAAGATATATTTAAATTGTTTTCAAGACTGTTGAATGTAAAATGAAATGAACATATTAATTAATTAATGTTAGTGATTACTTTGTGCTCTCTTTTGTTTCCAGTATTTGTCAAATCTTGATGAAAGTCCAGCTTACCAAGGGGGCAAAGAAAATTACTGGAGAAAACTTACTCTCGATGGTAAGAATTTCACAGCTTTTCTCTTATTTTCTTCACAGTATTTCTCTTATTTTTCAGTCATGTTGGAACATTTTTTTTAAGTTCCAAATTAAATATAACTAAAAATAAATAAAAAAACAGACAAAATTTTAGGGGAATTTTTTTTTTTTAAAAATCAAGGAATAAATTATATTCCTGTAATAAGCTTATGAGTAACCAGGTCAGGTTTTAAAATGTGCAAGTGTTTATAGAACAAAATGGGTGTTTTATCAGAGAAATTTTCAATCATAATAGCCAATGTTTGGCCAAAAAAGAATACTAAATGATATTTTTAAAGGGATTGTCCAAATTAAAATATAAATGTGATTTTGTTATTCAAATGATAAACTTTTTATCACCTGTTTCCATTAATTTGTTGATCAGTCAATGCTTTGGACCCCAAACTAAATATCAGCATGAAAGTACCATGCATTCATCTATCATGCAATTATCTTGTTGCAATGTTCAGGCACAGTTTTTCTTCTCAAATCTGCACACCCGAAATCTTCTTTAAAGGCTGTGACCAAATATTTTCCAAAAAAGTTTTAGATAAAACTCAGTGATTTTAAAATGTTATCAGAGATTATTTCATTTCAAAATTTTTAATTTGAATTGTTTTCAGTTTTACCAAGGCACACTATGTTCTTTGACGTCTTTGACTATGTTTACAACAATCACAAATCAGCCTTGCTAAGGGATGAAATGCCTCTACTAATGAAAGCCCCAATCACACAAGAGATGCAAATTAGGCATATAAGAGCCATTTCTAAAATTAGGTAAAAGAAAATGTAATTTTTTTTTTCCTTCAAATTACTGAAATTTAACATTATATGCCCCACCAACTTCTGGACTTCATGATTAAGTTATCTCAATTTAATTACACATTAATTTAATTTAAAACGTCAAAAATTTATTTATTAAAATCATTTCTTTCATTTTGTATAATTTTGATGTTTATTTCAGGACATTACCACTTCTCGCAGGTCAACCTTCCAAGGGTACAAAATCTTCAGCAGAGGTCAGCCAGGTATCAAGCAGGAGGACAAGACAGGCAAAGCTCAGGTCTATGAAGATGAGAGAACTTTACAGTCGAGATTTGGTGAGTCGGTCAAAAGAAACTAGAACTTGCAGCAGTGGGAGATTCACTTATGAATCGATACGACACATGTTTGTGAATTCAGATCCTGGACAGCATTCACATTGAACCTGCTTCAATATTGAAACATTATCTGACATCATCTTAATGTACATTTACCAAGTTGTAGGTGATTGTATGTGAAAACTTTTTGGAAAGATTAAACACCAAACACAAGTATTAAAAATTTGTGACAATATTGACTGTTTTTTTAATTTTTATTTTAAACAAAATTAATATTTTTAAAAAAATTTCAGCCACCGGTATAAAGTTTTACAACCTTCTTTATTCTAGGAGAAGGAGAGGACAGACATCTCAGCTGATGACTATTTCTTCAAGAATGACCGCTTGGTTGATGATGAAATAATGGGTGATGATGACTGGGACAATGAAGCCGACCAACTCTATGAATGGACACAGGGTCTTTCCCTGGCCGATGATGCCATCCAGACACCAATAATTACTATATGAATTCATTTATTATTTTTCTTAATTAACTTGTCAAAGTGATGATAATGGTTTTCTTATCAGATTAAAAGTTGAAATAGTGACTGTAATATTAGGCATGTCTTGAATGTGTAATTTATTTTGTCATGTTTTGAATGTACAGTGGAGCTCTGGAAACATCTGTTGTTTCTTTTATTACTGATAACTGCAGCCCAGAAATGACTTCCCTTGATCTTACTGAGAATATTAGACTAGTTAATTTTTCTGTGTCTACATAAAGACACTTCACATTTATTTCTACATTTTGTTCTAATTGTTCACTCATTCATCCAGGATATCTTATAAACAATTAAAACAAAATAATTTTCCAAAAATTTTTTATTTTCTTTTAAAATCAAATTTCAACCAGGGCAAAAAGAATAAATATTTAAAACACTTGACTTTTAATGCTTTGATACATGTTTTTTTGTGTTATTTTTGTGTGCTGAAAAAAAAAAAAACATTTCTAAAAGAATTGAAAGCAGTGAAAACAATCATGGTGACTTGTAAAAGTGGACAGATTGAAACAACAGAGGAGCCTAGGGCACATCTCATAGCATCCGCTGGAGTAAACTTGTGTGATAGATGGAAGTAAACAACTAAAATGGTGAAATTGGGACATCACACCCCTCCCCCCCAATGACTTGGCGCACACGTTTATTTTTATAATCTAAAGTGGTATAGTTAATCTCCATGATTGTGAAGTTAAAAAAGAGCCGACAGTGACCCTGCTGATGAAAATGGACTAGACTCACTTTTAAAGTTTACAAACTGTTGAGACTTTTGAATTTCTTTTTTAAAATTTTTTTGTGTGTGTTCAATTTTAAAATAAATTGTTACCTTAAAATGAAAGAAAGATTTGAACAATAATTTTCATGCTAAGTCTTTTAACTTTTTTTCTATTCTTAGTAATATAGTAAGAGGTTCAAGTTTTCATAACATTAAAATAATAAAAATAAAAAATTACACTTTCATAAAAATTTTTAAAAATCGTTTTCATTTAATTTCCAAAATATTCAAATTGTTCAGAAAATTTTTTTTGCAAGAAAATACACAATTATAATGAAAAATTTTCAAAATGAACCCGAACAGATGTAAACAATTGCAAACGATTCAATGAACCATATAAGGAGTTTTTTGGGTCTGATTTAATTGTTTTGCTTGGGCTGGATCAAATAGTAGTAGTGGATCAATTGTCTAGTAACTAATTCTAACTCTTGAATATCTTTTCAGTTTGTATGAATATCAATATATCAATTAAAGAAATGAATTACAAAAACAAGTTTGACTAAAACAAAAGCATAAAAAGTTAAAAAGCCGTCAGGTTATGGCCAAAACATTTGAAAAATTATAGAAAATAATTTTGTGTATGTGGCAATACACTGCTCCACCTTGCTTTCTGACGAAACTCACATTTTCATAAAAATTGTCACAGATAAAAAAAAAATTGGCAGCCCCTATACATTTATTCTTGATTCAGTCTTTGAAATGACATTGCTACAAAAGTAAACCATAAAATAATTAACACTAATGTTTGTTATATAAAGCTAACTACAAAAGCTTTTATCCAGACATAAATGGTAGCCGAACAAATCCAAATGTTAGAGAATTTAAAAAAAAACAAGAGTCAGTGTTAGTTTTGCTTCATCCATTTAGCGTATGATTTCTCCCAGAGGTGTACACCAGCTCATTAACATTTAGGAAGATCTTCCCTCATAATTTGATTCATATGAGGGAAGATCTTCCTAAATGTCAATGAGCAATTTGATCGTCTAGTTTGGTTGGTATTTCACAACTACCTTTAGTATCACAGTAAAAGAATACAGTAGTGTAAAAAACAAAAAAAACTACTCAGATAACATGTGTTCAATGTCCCATTACCCATGACAACACAAAGGGAAAAAAAAACATTTGTTATGGAATGAAATGAATAGCAATTGGTTTATTCAGAAACTCTTAAAGTCTCTGTCCCATCACACATTTTTATTCATTTTCCTTAACTGGTTCGCTAATCTTTACTGTCACCAGGTCTGCACAGTTTGTCAGTTAAAAACAAGAAATAAGGGAAAGGGGGGGGGACAGTTACCTGCCTGGATTCAGAGTTGTAAGAAAATTGATTAAATCTGTGTCATCAATGTTTCTCCAGCTCTGGATAAAAAAACCCCATAAAAATATCTCTTTGAGAAAACTTAATTAATGGTGATGACTTCTTCGGTTTTTTTTTTTTTTTTTTTTTTTTAAAGTAGATTAGTTAGATAAACTGCCTTTTNTACCACATATATAGTTGTCTAAATCTGTGTCTATTCAAAGCAAATGTGAGTAACAGACCGTTAAATGCTTAAAGTGTTCATTAAAACTAATTTTGTTTAAATAGAAAATGTGCAGTGACACTTTGAAGCAGACAGTTTATTTTTTTTTTTTTAAAGTATTTTAAAATATTTCATCTTTATTTATATACAAATGTTGCTTCAAGTATTTGTAAAAAGAAATGGATAAAAAAAAAAACTCCAACATCTTTGAAAACAACATTTACAAATTATTCACATGTTCCTTAAACTCAGGTAGGTTGTCATTTCTTTTATGGTATTTTTTAAATTACTTAACATTGTTGAGGTTTATATTTACTCACACTTCAAGCAACGGTAGCCAGATAGTCAGGAAAGCTTACACCTAAAGAAGCCTCTTGATTTTTAATACATAAATAGAAATGTACTTTATACAAAAAAGCAAGGATTTTAAAATATAAAAAAACAAATAGTTCTAATTGCCATGTTCTTTTGCTCAGTCCAATATTCAAACAATTTTTTTTAAGTGACATTTCACGATTTTACTTTGAAATTTTTTTTTTTAAAGTATCTAAACCAATTTTTTGGCAATGCAGTGGGAAATTCATTTCATCTTACTTCAGTCTATAAATTCGGACCTTAAATCTATTTTATTCAGGTCTTCAGTCTATTATGCAGTCAAGAAAACTGCAGTAAACGTTATGTCATCCTCTTCTCTTTATAAAAATCAAACCCCATATATTACTGAATTTTCCGATTTTTATGGGGATTAATTCAACTGTATAAACCATGTTTCTAATAATTCCACTTGATCAGCTTTACACCTGCCACAAGCTCAGACAGCAATAATGACAGGACTGTTTGTTTTTCAAGGACATCTTGTTGTACTGTTATGAATTATTGAATCATCTTGTGATGGGCACAGTCAAAGCTTCTTATTAAAAAATTCAAAAGAAAAAGTTTTTACAAGCTATGTGGAAATAAAAGATAAAATCTCGAGACAGATAAATGAAGAAACAGATGAATTTAGTTTAAATCAGGGAGACCTAAGAATCAATGTACAAATAAAAATATAATGAATGACCTTTTACTAAATCTTCATTTGTGGTGATTTTTATATTGTATGTGGATAAGCCTCAAAATGCATACGGTACACTTATATACAATTAACTGTAAAGTTTAATAGTCAAAGTATTAACATTTCACATTGCCTCTTAGAGAGAAAAAAAAAATCACTTTTCAAACAGCAAGAGATCCAAATTATTTTCAACAAAACAAATGTGGTTTACATATTATTTACATTAAAAATATCAGATATCAGAAATGAGTTTGTATGGTAAATAATAACAAAATTATTACTCAGTGATGCCTACAAAGGCAGATCTTGTGAATGTCTTTTATTTTTTAATCAATAGACTTTTAAAAAGCTTCAGAAAATTTAAAATATGAGAAATCAGTTAAAAGGTAAGTCAAAAGGCAAGATTATCAATTTTATGTGAAATGTTTATTAAAAAAAAATTCACATCAAACATTATAACTCTTTGTTAAATGTGTATTTGTTCCTTTCCTTTTTAAAGCAGCTCATTTATATCAACCAAAAAAACACCAATTATTATACAAAATGTGTTTCAAATTTTAGATTACTCAAGACTCAAGGTCTTAAAAAAAAAAATTACACACTTCTACAATAACTTAAAGGGCATTTTCAAAATGTAAGCCAAGTAACAGTAATTATGTAACAATATTAAAAAAATGTTTACAAATATAATAAAGATGAAACATTTCTTACATTATGGTAAATATAAACAACGGCAAACAACAATGTCGTGGACATAAAACCCCAAAAATTCATAACTACAATTTTAATATCAACATGTGAACATGAAAATACTTCATCAACAAAAAAACATTCGGAGGGAAAATGGGGGGTGGGGTGTAACAAAGCTTTGATGCAGCTTTAACAAAGTACTTTTGAAAAAACTAGATCACCGGTATTGCAAATAAAAAAACATGTAACATTAACAGATTGTAAATCACCCCAGCATTTTAATTTTTTTTTATTTTTTAAAAAAGGACCAGAATTCAACTATTTGAAAAGTTAAAAATATAATACCCTCCTCCAATTTTTGACCTGGCAAATGGAAAATAATTCCACAAGTAAATCCATAGTTTATAAAAATTGAAGCCAAATGTTATTATTATATATTTTTTTTTTTACTATATGAGCTAAATGAAATGTCTTACATGACAGGCACTATCAAATAGTGTCTTTTCAAGAAAACTATAATACTGAGGTGAAATTTGGTGTAAAAAGCAGTAACATGTCTTGTGTGATAATAATTAACATGTGCATATTTTCAAGACGGAGCTATTAACAAGTAACAGGCAGATTTGAATTGCTTTTAAATTAAATATTAAACACAGGAGAAAGTTTGCGTATTTTCATGATAATTTTGGCAATAAATTTCATCAATTTAATCAGCCCGGAAAAAGAGTGTGATTTTAAAAAAATCATGCCATTTGAAATGACTATCAAGTTAATACATTTATAGGGATAAATCTTTTTAACATGTTTATTAATTTCATTCGGCATCAATTAGGGATGCACCAAACTAAATTGGTAGTTAAACATTAACTAACTGTATTTACTCTCTTACCAATTATTCATTAATGGCTATAAAAGGTTGATAAATCAGTCCCTATTAAAAATAATTTTCACTTACATGTTGCGGTGCATTTTTAAAAAAATATTAAAATATATTAACCATTCATTGATATAATTACTGCAATTCATAAAGAATTACCAAAATTGGTTATAATAATAATATGCCTTCAAAAGCCTGGTAAGTAGCAATGTTGGCTCTGTTGTATACTTGGAAAACATTATTCAGCTTGCTGTATGATATATAATTGTATTAGAGGCCGACCGAATTTCGGCTTCGGCTTCGGTTTCGGCGCCGAAAGTTGCCATTTTATCACTTTCGGCCAAGTTTCGGTTTCGGCCGAAACTGAAAAGTTAACTTTGGGCTTAATTTCGGTTTCGGCCGAAAAAGAAAAGTTAACTTTCGGTTTTTCTTCGGTTTCGGCCGAAATTGACTTAGAATTTCGGCCATCCGGCCGAAAGTGACTCAGGTTTTCGGTCATTTAATACTCAGCGAAAGCGGTATTTAACAACAAAATAAGCGACATTTAAGAACAAATAAAGCGATCTTTGAGAACAAACTAAATGATATTTAACAACAAAATAAATGACATTTATGAACAAACTAAACGATATTTAAAACAAACTAAGCGATCTTTAAGAACTATCTAAGCGATCTTTAATAACAAACTTAACAATCTCAAAGAACAAACTAAACGATTTTTAAGACCGAACTAAATGATCTTTAAGATCAAAACAAATGATCTTTAATAGGAAACTAAATGATTGATAAGAATAAACTAAGCGATCTTTAACAGAAAACTAAATGTTCTTTAGGAACAAACTAAAAGATCTTTAAGAACAAACTAATCGATCTTAAGGAACAAAATAAATTATCTTTAAGAACAAACTAAGCGATCTTTGTGAAAAACTAAGCGATCTTTAACAACAAACTAAGTGATCTTTAACAACAAACCAGGCGATCTTTATGAACAAACTAACCGATCTTTAAGAAAAAATAAAGCGATCATTAACAAAAACTGGACGATCTTAAACAACAAATTAAGCGATCAATAACAACCAACTAAACGATCTTTAAAAACAAATTAAGCG